GTCATACTGGGCATTCACGGACGCATGCGGACGGTGGCACCTGGGTTTTCGGGGGAGTTCCCTGCGGGGACACGAAGCGCTGTACTGCGTGGGTCCAACGCATGGAGGGAGGAGGGGGGAGAGGGAAGAGGGAGGAAGGAGGAGAACGCGGGGGCCGTCTCTTCAAAACGAGGACCCAACACCACAGGATGGTTGGGAAAAAACGTATCCAGTCGCACATGTTATGGATCCGTTTTACATGTAACTTCTGAGCGGATCCAAGCCGACGTCGCGCATGACACAACAACTCAACGTTGCATAACGGACCCCCGGAAGGGACCCAGCAATCCTCAGGGCACCGGGCAGCGCGGCCGCGCAGCGGGGCCCCCCTGCAAGGCAAGGGCCCAAGTCCTGCGGCCTAGGACTGGCGCTGGCGCCGCGGCGGCCGGCCTTGTCTCGATCGCGCTGCGGGGTCCAGCCCGCCGCGGGGCGCCCGTTCAGGGGCGGCGTGGGTTGGCGGACTCCACAATGTCCTGCGAAGCGGGGTCGCCCAGCACATCGTCGATGCGTGCTGAGCCCCCCTGTGGGGGGATGCAAGTCGGGGCTGCTGCGGCGAGCAGATCCAGGCCATCCCGCCATCGACAGCAACCCGTCGAGTCCACAGGACGCCAGCTGGCAGCTCAGGTCGCCGACGACGAAGGCCAGCGCGTCCCCCAGCCCTCCGAGCCACTCCACAGCCTCGAGGATGAGGTCGGCGTTCCGCTCCGCGTCAGGGCGCCCTCCCGCGTAGCAATAACAATTCACGCAACGCATGGCTTCGGAGGCGCCGAAGTGCAGCAAGAAATGCTGCGACTGGCCAGGGTGCCGGCCAGAGGGCCCCAGCGGCGGCTCGGAGCGCGCCGCCGCGCCGCTCCCAACGCGGCGCGCTGCCGCCAGCAGGCGCACACTGTCGCTGGCGGGCCCTGAGTGCAACTGCATGCCACGAGCGAGGGCTGCAGCCGCTGGGGACGGAGCGTCCGCGGCTGGAAACCAAGCCTCTAGCAAGCACCACGCGCCCGCGCCTGCGAGCAGGCCCCGCCAACTCGCGCTCCAGCGCGTCACATTGGCGATCGGCACCGTGACTCGCTGCGGCGCAGGCGGGGGCCGAGGGCGCGAGGCGTCGCCGACCTTGCCGCGGCCATCCGCTCCACAGGGCTGTCTCGTTGCTCCACGGGCACGCGGGGGGGAGGGGATGATGGAGACGGGGACGAAGAGGCCCACTCCACCCCCCACTCCCGCTCGCTCCTTCTTCTCCTGCCCTCACCCATGAAACTAACAACGCTCGGACGCCAGCTGCCGCGCCCCGCTCCAGGCTCCGCGAGCGCCCCCGCCAGCCCGGGCTGGACGGCGGCGTGGAGGAAGCCCGCGGCCGGCAGAGGCACTCCCGGAGCAAATTCTGCCGCCTACCTTCCGCCGCGCGGTGGGCGGCTGCCACCTCGCGCCACGCCCTGTGCGGAGCGGCGTCGCCTGGCGGCGCGCCTCTGGGAGCCGCGGCGGCTCCCGCCGCAGCGTCCAGGCCCGCAGGCGCCGCAGCATCCCCAGCGTCTCCTGGCGGCGCGGCGCCGGGAACTGCAGGGGCCCCACCGTTTGTGGCCACAGCAGCGGCGGCGGCAGCGGCAGGCACAGAGGCGGCGGGACCTGCCACGGCCGCCGCCGCATCGGCGGCAGGGGCCGCCGCACCGGCCCCAGGCGCAGCGGCAACGACCAGCGCGCGGAGCTGTTCGACGAGCGCCGCGGCGTTACCGCCTCCGGCGCGCCTCCGCGATGCTGCAGCGCCGAGGTGGCAGCAGCGAGCGTGTCGAAGGCTGCAGCTACGCCAGCCCCGGAGGGATTCCAAGCAGGTGGCGCCCACGCAGGAGCCGCCGCGCAGGTGCCTGCCTCGGCCTCGAAGTGCGCCACGGTCTGGCGCGCCTCCATCAGGTCCTCCTTGACCGCCATCACGTTGGCCGCTGGCTGCTGCCTTCTGGGAGTCCGTCGCGAGTCGCGGCCTGGATGCTGACTGCCCAGGGCCGCGACCCCTGAGCGGCCAACTCCAAGGTCTCAATCTGCCCGCACTCGGACGCGTCCGCCCACGCTCCATAGCGCTGGGCTGTCGTTTTGCGTTCGCGCCAGTAGCGAAGCTCCCTCTGCGAGGGGCTCAGCTCGTCCGCCAGGGAGGCCCGTTGAACGCCAGTCGCTGCGGAGGGCGGCATCGGCACGTCCCCAGCAAGTTTCGCGGCGCCCAGCGGCAAGGGCAGCAGGCGCTGCACCATGGCCGCGTAGGAGATCGCGCCATGCGCCTGGGCCCCACCTCCTCGCGGCTTGCGGCGCTGACCAGGCGCATCCGACCTGGGCTCCGCTGCGCGCTTCGGCCGCACCTTGGCTGCCACCCGGACGGCATCGGCAATCCACTGCGGCGCAGGCTCGCCGCAGCGCTGGCTGCACAAACGACACGCCAAATTGCCCGCGCGCCCGCACGGGCAGCCCCAACATGGCTCCTGTGGCCCTGGGAGCAACGCCGGGTACGCAGCCTCCGAGCGGCCGCCGCCGCCACCGCCGCAGCGGTCGCCTGGCATCTGACACAGGCCGGATCGCTGCTCCTGCCCAGCTGGCTTGAGCCAAAATGGCTTGAGCCAAAGTGGCTAAAGACGGCGACGCGGCCACACGACAGCGACAGAGCACAAGGCACAGAAGCACGCACAGGCGTGCGCTACCCAAGGCAAGGAGGCAACCGACGCTACCGAAAGCCGCAGCGAAACGGACTGAGAGGGGTGAGTGGCACCAGTGGCGGTGCGTGCTTACAGCGACCCGGTCGCGCGGTGCGCCCGCCGGGGACGATGAGGGTGAAGCCGATCGGCTGGCAACGCAGGCCGACAGTGTGACGGAGCTGCGCAGGTCCGCGCTGAGGACGAGGACGAGGGCGTTGGGGTCGAGACAGAGCCCCCGAAGCATCACGTTCTGAGAGCTGGGCAGTTTGGGGTTTGCTCGAACATATTATGAGAGTTTAGACACAAGCACATACGCACGCACGAAACAAACCCCAGCAAACACCCATATCTAGCATTAGTGCATCGTTGTGTTTGCGCTTCGGCTCCAAGAACAACTCGTTTAACATGTTTGCGCTGGGGCTCCCCAAAAACCAGCCGAATGCCCCCACGGCGGCTCAGGACTGCCTCCCACCGGCTCCCTGGAGCCCCCCCCCCAGGGCGCCAAGACGGAACCCAGGCGCTCCAAGAGTGGGGTGGGCTCGATGTACGGTGGAGGCCAGTCCGTAAGAAACCTTCCACAAGAAACCCAACCCTGAGACCCCAGGACGGCCACTCATTTCTGGCGTGGGAACGTCAGGCTCTCCATAGCGGAACCATCGAAACCGAAGAAACCCAGGGCACCCTGGAGGCAAGCAGGGTGTTTCTTGGCATGGGCCCCCACTGCACACACCATGCCGCTTGGTCGGCGAAGGAACTCCGTGCACAGACGCCCTGGCTTCCCAATCTGTCGCACGCTGGAGCGTCTGCACATCGCATGCACTCGCCGAGCTCACTGGCTCCTCGGCCAGCTGAACGACGTGGTGTGCGCATCAAGTGCCTCCTGAAGGCGGGCCCACATAGGACTCCGAGGCAAGTCGTGACGGCCCCCAAGAAGTAGAACACTGAACATCCGCCCTCAAGATACGCACCCGACAAGCGAAGCCGCAGGGCCGTCTAGGAAACGCCCAGGGCCGTCTAGTGAACGACAATGATCTTGTCGGGACGACATTTCCTCCCAGGAAGGAGGCCGCAAAGCACGATTTGGGGAAACCAAAAGATACCGATACCGTTACTCCCTGGACCTCTCCTGGGGTGCGTTCTGTCCAGGATTCCAAGGCGAATCCGGCGCTGGCGACGAGGGTCTCCGAGGAGGCCCCCAAAAGGAAAACGAGGATGGGGTAGAGGTATGGGTACCTTTTCCTCCTCTGCCGAGTGGCCCCGGCGACACACAACATATGGTCTCTTAGAGCCCCCGGCGGCGCCGCGCCCGCGCAGAGGGCTCGCCTGCGTAGGCGTTCAGCACACGGAAAAGCCGCTGCTGCTGCTCGGCATCGAAGGACCTCGTGCGCAGGGCCCCCCCCGCTCGCGCGCGGAAGCGGAAGAGGAGGAGGAGGAGGAGGAGGAGGAGGAGGAGGAGGAGGAGGAGGAGGAGGAGAGGAGGAGGAGGAGGAGGAGGAGGAGGGGGGGGAGGAGGAGGAGGAGAAGGAGGAGGAGGAGGAGGAGGAGGAGGAGGAGAGGAGAAGGAGGAGGAGGAGGAGGAATGGGAGGAGGAGGAGGAGGAGGAGGAGGAGGAGGAGGAGGTGGAGGAGGAGGAGAGGAGCAGGAGCAGGAGGAGGAGGAGGTTGAGGAGAAGGAGGAGGAGGAGGAGGGGAGGAGGAGGAGGAGGGGGAGGAGGGGAGAAGGGGGAGGAAGTGGGGGAGGACGAGGAGGAGGAGGAGGAGGAGAGGGAGGAGGAGAATGAGGAGGAGGAGGAGAGAAGGAGGAGGAGGAGGAGGAGGAGCAAGAGGAGGGGGAGAAGGGGCCACCGCCAAGGCGGAGAGGGAGGCGGCGAGGCCAAGGCGTGGAACGCACAGCGGTCACTCGAGGCAGTGGGGTGGGCACGTCACGCACAGGGAGAAACACGATCCCGACCTCTCGCACAAGGCCCGATCTCTGCTCCAGATCCGCGCGATCGCGGGCCGAAGCGCGCCACGCAGCTCACGGCAGCGGAGTGCACGCGCAGCAGACAGGGCGGCGGCAGCAGTGGCCAAGAGATGTAAAACGCTCGTGCGGGACGACACGGCAGGATGAGTGAGTGGAGCGTCAGAGGGGGGGCTGGCTCAGGGGGGAAGGAATCGGAGATACATCGCCCATAGATTCGCGATAGGCCCCCGATGGCGAATCCGCAGGCTCCTGGGCAAGGTAAGCTTTCGGCGATTCGAGCCCCTGTCGACACTGAGTGGGCGATTCGCGTGGATGCATCCCCCCCTGAGGGTATGCCTATCCCCCTGAATGAGAAGAACGAGAGCGACAAGAAGAGACAAGGCAAGGCACGCCTACTCGACCAGAAGCGGGGATCGACTGACCCCGGTCAATGCAAACCTGGGTCAGTCAGGATCCTGCAGGATCCTGCAGAATCCTGCGCGCTAGCCGGGGTCAGCGCAATCCTGGCCCAGCAAGATCCTGCAAGATCCGGCGCTCTGACTGACCTCCGTTTGCATTGATCCCCGCCCCTGAGCTCCCGAAACAGGCCAGACCTGCAACGATCGTTGCGACGAGAGGGGCCCGCTCGAGCGGGGACGCGTGTGCAGCGTAAGCCACTTCCAGGTGCATCCATGGGTAAACCAGCGCAGCGTATGGCCAGTCCGAGGAAGGTAGGGAGAGAAAGAGAGAGAGAGAGAGAGAGAGAAAGAAGCTGAATGAAAAACGCACATGAACACGAAAAACAACCTCAGAGGGCATCGAAATACCGCGTGAATGTCGCATGCCAGGCTGCGATGGACTGGGCTGAATCTTGCCGAGGATGCGCCAAGGCCTCCTCCCCCCCCGCTGCCCACACAGCGTGCGCACGAATCTCAAAACCCCATGTCTTTCCCGCACGAATTTCCAGCTCCACGACAAAGAGGACGAGAAATAAAACACGAGTAGGAAGATCATGGAGATCCTACCCCTCAACTGGCCCCGACCCCACACCAGGTCTTCGCCTGGCCCCCCACCACGCCCCCGCACCGCACCGTCCTGGGAGCTCTGTTCTTGGGACCCCCCACCCGACAATTCCTGGCCCGGAACCGACCCCGACCCCCCCACAGGGTCTCCACCTCGCCCTCCCTGCCACGCCCCCACCTCGCCCGACCCCCGCGCGGTTCTGGGAGCTCTGTTCTTGGGCCCCCTCCACCCGACAAGTCCACGCCCGGAACCGAACTGGTCATAACCCCGGCGCCGCGATGCTTCGCGTCGTGGTTGGAAAACCATGTGGGACCTGCTCTAGAACAGGATCATACCGTAGACGAATCTACCGTTTCGCCGCCCTGTCACCGCGCCGAAAGCAACGGCCACGTCGTCCATAGACGTATACACTCTGAAAGTGTCTACGGACGTCACGGCACCCAATGTGTCCATAGACGCTGTGGGCTAGGATGTGAGAGCGGCATTTGGCATCGGCCCCAGATGTTGCTCTTCAACATCGTGGATCCCAGGAAGTTTGGACTTCTTCCCCGCGACCGACGGTTTATCTTCAAGTTGTGTTCTGTGGACGGTCCCGGGCCTGGAAACAGCCCAAAAACGCCGAGGGGATCAGAAAGTCACGTCGCGATGCTGCAACGCATGTCGCTCAAAAACCGCCCCCTGGACCTGTACTGGGGCACGGTCTGGCCAGAATCTCCAGGATCCAGCGGCCGCGGCCACAGCAGCCCCGCAGGAACGGCTCAGGCCATCCAGAACCCTCGAGAGCCTCGAATCTGAGTCCTGCGCGCCCCCCCTAGAGGATGATGCGACGCGCGGCTTCGCTCAGGGGAACAAGGGCTCGTATCTTTACTTTCTGCGATAATGGGCGCCGTGCGCACGGCGGCAGTGCCCGGAGCGCGATAGGGGGGGAGGGCGTTGCGCTGTAGGGGGGGAGGGGCCGGGAGCTATAATGCCCATTATGCCCAAGCAATAAAGACACACGCTCTCCAAGCACTGACATGAACATAAACATGAACACTCCGAGGTCCGCGCGGACTCCTCGGATCGACGCCGGAGGCGCCGCCAGGGGACCCAGCGCCTCCAGCGTCGATCCACGGAACCCGCGCGGACCTCGGTTTTTGCGTTGATGCCATTGTTGACCACCCACCAGGCCACCCCAACCCAAACCGAAGACTCGAATTTCGCCCGAATTTCGGGTAGGGGTGGGGGGGAGGTACGGGCTCCACGTGTGTTTCTGCAGTGTTCCCCGACCCCCCCCCCCCACTGGAAGTGGAGGGCGAATCGGGGCCCCTGGGTTGGGTTCGGGGTGGCTTGCTGGGCAATGGACTGCTTGCTCCCGAGACCGCTGGGCGCGTGCCCCGAGGCACGCGGCCTCGCAGCAGGGGCCTGCGCCACCAGCCGGAGACCCGAGACGAAGAGCAGCAAGACACGGGAGGACGGCAGATCGGAAGCCTCCCTGCCCGGGGGGCCCGGGGGGAAACCGGGCACGCCCCGCGCGGGTAGGCGAAACGGTTGGTACGGGTGGGCCTGTTTTCCACCGCCACCACCAGAAGTACGAGGGCGAGGGGGTCCTCCTCCTCCTCCGTCCTCCTCTCCTCCTCCTCCTCCTCGTCCTCCTCCTCCTCCTCCTCCTCCTCCTCCTCCTCCTCCTCCTCCTCCTCCTCCTCCCTCCTCCTCCCTCCTCCTCCTCCTCCTTCCCTTCCCCTCCAACTTATGGTAGTGGTGGTGGAAAACAGGCCCATCATATATGCCCCACGCCCACCGCAAGGACTGTTGGGCAAGCGACTTTCTGTCTCAAATGGACAACGCCCGCGGCGACGCCGTCAGCGAATCCCGTTCACGCCGCCCCGCCCTCCCCTGGGAACAGGATGACGCACTTGCGCTTCGCTCTGAAATCCCCCAGACCGCCAAGCGCGGCTAGCTTCGCACCCTCGTGGTGGCCCTAGCGTTCCGGTCGCACCGAGGACTGGCAAATCGGATGCAATCCTCCCCTGGGGCTGGGACGGAGGGAGGCGGAAGCCGCTGTCGCTCGGGGGGGGGCGCTGCTTGCGTGCGGACCAGAAGGGGCGACCAGGCGAACGCCGGCCGCAGGAGTCGCAAACATTGAAAAGCAACGGTTTCCAACATCTTGCCAGCGATCCGACGTCATTCCCCGCGCACTTATCGGCTTCGTGCGCTTCTTTTCCGAAAGAAGGTCCAAGATGCTCCTCGATGGTCCCCGGCAAGAAAAAGTGCACACGGCACACGTCCGAGCGATGCCAAGATATTATCAGTCTCACCTTTTTCTATATTCAGGGCGTCAGAGACGGCCGAAGAGGCCCCCAATATCGGCCCAGAACGTCCCAGGAAGCCGCCCCCAAGATGGCCCAACACGTATCCTCGGACAGCTCCAAGAGGTGCCCAATACGCGCGCCACCGCGGCGCCGCTGGAAACCGCACGTCCAAGACGGCCTCGAAAGCTCAACGAGGTCACGGAAATGCCCCGAAGAGGCTTCCAAAAGGCCCCATGAGGCCCCAACGAGGCCGCGAAGAGACCACAATTGTACCCTAAGGGACGTCGTCGTGCAAAGACAGGTATTCGAATAGTTTGGTCGGTAGTTCGCTTGGTGGTCAGGTCGACAGCTATACATTTGACTTCCTTTGCGTATATGGCGATGAAATTGAATATGTACACAGTTACACAGGGAAATGGATTGGCAGTCCGACGTCGAGCGACCGCAAATCGAAAATTGCCACGTCCACCCACCTCCCCACCTCTCGATTGATGGCCTTATAGGTATCGGAGGAAGGGAGGCAAGGCCCCCTCATTGCAGACCACAGCGCTGTCGTAAACAAGTCATGGCAACACTTGCTGCCAACACCGTCCTCTGAAACTAGAGGAACAAACAATGACATAAACATGAAAACTCGGAGGTCCGTGCAGATTCCTCGGACCAACGCTGGGGCCCCCTGGCGGCGCCTCCGGCGCCGCCCCTGACGCGCTCCGCACGCCAGGGAGGGGGGCTCAGCGCCGATCCAAGAAATCCGCCCTCCCTGGCGCGCGAAGCGCGCCAGCACGGGGACCCCGCGCGGCTCCAAGAAATCGGCGCGGAGCGCTTAACATTTCAATGTATACCCTTTCTCTTCTTCTTCTTCTTCAAATGCAACCGAAACGCTATCATAAGGAGCCCTAAATAAAGAACGAGGCATTTTCCAAAAGTGGAACTTCGATGTCCCTGAGACAAATGTACATGAAAAAAACAAGGAAGTCTAAAAACAAGGACTTTACAATTCTAGGTTGTCGCGTAGAGGTCGCAGCCCCGAAGCGAGGCAGAGACCAAAACTAGGAAATTGTAAAACAAGAACAGGCCCCGCGACGCGGAATGAAACAAAAAAAGGGACGCCGTGGAACAGCAGGGGGAAGATCTGGGCGAAGATCTGTCGGGAGATCTGGGGATTGACCAATGGAAGATTTGGCGCGGTTGCAAAGCGAAAACTCTGGAGGAATATTTGGAGGAAGATGTAGGGGAGATCTGAGGGAACATCTCCGATGTAATATTTGGCGGGAAGTCTGGAGAAAGATCTGGAGGGGCATCTGCGGTAAGATCTGGTGGAAGATCTGGGCGAACATCTTGGGAATGTGCTGGGGGAGATTTGGCGGTGTAGTGTGCCGTAAATGAACAGCAAGATTTGCGGGAAGATCTCGGGAATATCTGGAGAAAGATCTGAGGAAGAAGATATGGGGAAACATCTCGGGGAAGATCTGGGTGGAGATCTGGTGGACGATCTGGAGGAAGATCTCGGGAAAGATCTGGGGGGAACATCTGGGTGAATATACAGGGATACACAGAAAAAAATATGTGGGACAGCATCGGGAAAGATCAGAAGAAAGATCTGGGTGACGATTTGGAGGAAGATCTGGGGGAAGATCTGACGGAAGATCTTGTCCGGGGAGAGATTTGGGGAGAGATCTTGGGGGGATCAGGGGGAAAATCTGGGGGAAGATCTGGGCGAAGATCTGGAGGAACATCTGGAGGGAGATCTGAGGGAAGATCTGGGGGAACATCTGAAGGAATATCGGGTGGGAGATCTGAAGGGAGATTTGGGGAAGATCTGGGGGAAGATCTGGAGAAAGATCAGGGGGAAGATCTGGGGGAAGATTTGGAGGAAGATCTGGGGGAAAATCTGGGGGGAGATCTGGGGGAAGATCTGGAAGAAGATCTCGGGTAAGATCTGGGGAAGATTTAAGGAAAGATCGTGGGGGAAATCTGGAGGAAGATCTGGCGGAAGATTTTGGGGAAGATCCGGGGAAAGATCTGGGGAAAGAGTTGGGGAAAGATCTGGGTGAAGATCTGCGGGAAGATCCGCGGGAAGATCTGGGGAAAGACCTTGGGGGAAATGCTGGGGAAGAATCGGGGGGAAGATCTGGAGGAAGATCTGCCGGAAGATCTGGGCAAGATCTGGGGGACACCTGGGGAAGGACGCGCGGGGAAGGCCTGGAACCTCGATCCTCCAGATCTTCCCCCCAGATCTGGGGTGAAGATCTGGGGGAAGATCTAGGGGAAGATCTGGAGGAAGATCTGGGGAGAGATCTGGGGGGAACATCTGGGGGAAGATCTGGGGGAAGATTCGGGGGAAAATCTGGAGGAAGATCTGGAAGACGAAGATCTGGGGGAAGAACTGGGCGGAAGATATGGGGGAAGATGTGGGGGGAGATCTGGGCGAAGATCTGGGGGAAGATCTGGAGAAAGATCTGTAGAAAGATCTGGGGGAAAGATCTGGGGGGGGATCTGGGAGAAGATCTGGAGGAAGATCTGGGCAAAGATCTGGGAGGAGATCTGGGGGGAGATCTGGGGGGAGATGTGGGGGGAGATCTAGGCGAGGATCTGAGGGAAGATCTGAGTGAAGATCTCGGAGGGGATGAGGGCGAAGATCTAGGTGAAGATCCTGGGGGGGATTTTTTGTTGGAAAAGGAATAGAAGATCTGAAAAACGATCTGGAGGAAGACCTCAAGATCTGCGTGACGATCTGGGAGGAGATCTGGGTGAAGATCTGCGGGGAAATCAAAGGAAACATCTGGGGGAAGATCTGGGTGAAGATCTGGCAGACAATCCGGAGGAACATCTGGGGGAAGATAACCGTGACCATTTTTTAACTAGCTTTTCGAGTATCACTCGCGCGATGACTGCGGGGCATGAAACAAAACAAGGAAGATTTAAAATTATGGTCTTAGAAGAGGCCCGCGAGACTGAGCCCGGGCATGCCGTCCAAGCTTTTTTGAAGTCCCTGTAGAGCAATTAATGAACACTGAATCCCTCCACAACGCAAAGGGCTCCTTCTTCAGCGGCCCGACTATAACATAGACAGCCTCGCAAGAGAACCCCACAAGAGATCCCAATGAGACTTTGCCTGCAAAGATTCTTTCCTATGTGTGAAAAGCCGGTGGGTGCCGGGCCTGCACCGGCTGGCGCTTCGCGAAGTTCCTTGACCTTGATTCTTTGGTTGTGGTCGTGATTCCTTGTTGCTTGGTTCCTTGCTAGTGATTCCTTGGTTCAACGGTCTTGGTTCACCAGTTCATCGGTCGTGGTTCCTTGGTTTCTTGGTCGTCGATCATATGTTCCTTGCTTTGCGTTCTTCGCTGCCTCGCCACGCAATGCTAAGCAATGCCAAGCAATGCCAAGCAATGCTACAGAAGGCCACGCGCAACATGCCAAGTGATATGCCAAGCATGTTGCCGAAACGCATGCCACGCACAATGCCAAGCAACATGCCAAGCAATGTGCCAACCAATGGCGCGAAATGCGCCCATGCAATAATTAGGAAGCTTGCCCCTACTTGGGGTCGCGTCGGGTTCAGTGCCGTCGCCGTCACCTGAACGTACCTCACCGCGGGGCGCGGGAGGCCCCCCAGCAGCCCCAGGAGGCCCCCAAGAAAACCCCAGGATACCACCAAGGGGCCCCAAACAGCATCGGAAAGACCTTCCGAGAGACCTTCCAAGAGACCACAAGACGCATCTGAGAAGCCTCTGGCCCACAACCCGAGCACGGTGGCGGATCGGGCCGAAGGCCAACTGATACCCCAGCCCGCGGCGCGCGGGCGGACGGGCCTTTCCTCTGGGAACGTCCGGCGGATGTCTATCTCGATCTGTGAGGTCGAGGAGTTCCGCACATCCCTCAGACTGTGGTAGCTGCGCGCGGGCCGGCGCGGGCCAGCGGCGCTCCTCCTGTCCCCCTCCCTCCCCTCTTCCCTCGACTCGGCGGCACGTCCGGCGGATGTCTATCTCGATCTGTGAGGTCGAGGAGCTCCGCACATCCCTCAGACCGTGGCAGCTGCGCGCGGGCTGGCGCGGGCCGGAGGCGTTGCTTCAAGTCGGGCATGTCCCCCTACAGACGGATTTTGGGGGAAACATGAAAAATGCCAGAAACATGCCCCCCAAATGGAAAACAATGCTCAACAAATCGTCCCCGGGCGACTTGTTTACTCATCTGAAATGTTCCTCCTACAGAGGGACAGGCCCGACTCACGCGCTCCTTCTCCCCTCCCTCCTCTCTTCCCTCGACCTTGGCGGCGCGCCGAGGGCGGAAGCGAGAGGGGGCGGGCCCTTTCCCAGAAGTGAGCAGCCTCGAGCGCATCCCTGCCCCCAAGACTGACAGGCCCAACCTCGGAGGCGCGCAGACATGGATGAGCGATCCATGGACTTGGCGCGCGGTCGCCAAATCCATGGATCGGAGAGGTGCCCTCCCCAAAATCTGGCCGGTGCCGCCTCGCTCGGTGGCGGGAATCTGCGGTTTCCCATGGAAGCGGGACCCGTCGCTGATCCACGCCCCCATACTCCAGTTTAACGATCGCCTGAACAAGGCGATGACTAACTCAGAGGATGCGCCCACAGAAACGGATTGAATCCTTACGGTCGGCATCCAGATCAGGTGGCAGGCCTTCTCAGAAGGCTCGGAAGTCCCCCGGCCTTTTGAGAAGGTTCCGAAACCCTTCCCCGAAAACACAGAAAACCTCTTGGAAGGCGCGGGGCCTCTGAGAAGCCCCGCCGCCTCCTGAGAAGGCCGATGATCCTCAGAAGAACGTGTGCCCCAGCCTGTGCTCGCCCATCGAGGCTCTTCGATACGACGCAGGCGAGGTAATGATCTACTGGTTGGGCTGCAGGGGCACCACACACATACACACACACACACACTGGGCTAACGCACGTCCTGAGGATCATCGAGACGGCCCTTCTCCCTTCGGGGGCGGCCAAGAGGGGACTGTTCAAGAGGGGGGGGGGGCGCAAATGATGGCCGGCGGCACGTGGGAGGCCCAGGGGGTGGGGCCGGGGACGCAATGAAACAAGAAGAGGCGCCATGAAACCTGGGGAGATATCATGGCCCCTGCCATGATATCCCCCCCCCAGCCATCCCCCCCCCCCTTTTGCCGCCCCCGATCCTTCTCGCCTTCCCCCACCGTCGCTCGCCGCCGATTTCTCGGAGGGCTGGGGGCGCTCGGAGCCTCCGAAGACAGGCCCACCCCCGCTGCCTCCCCCCCCCTTTGGGCGCGCCGCCGATCGACGTCGACCATGCCCAAAAATCTCCATCGTCACGAGTTCCTCGCGACGCCGACGCCCCAAAGCAGGGCAACGAGAGCTATGCGTATCCACTGCTCCCTGGCAAGGCACCTCCTGAACCCAGAAGTGGTGTACACGCCACTCCCTTCCAGCCTGGCCACGAGGGCCTTTACGCAGCTCCTGGATTCAGGATGGGCCTGGCCAAGGAGCACTGGATCCGTATGTGTATACAGATATATAGAAAGAGAAGAGAGAGAGAGAGAGAGAGAGAGAGAGAGAACGCCGACCCCCAAAGGTCCTAACCCATTCCCCGGAACCGGTGTTTCATCCTGAATCGTTCTCTGACAGTCCCGGGACCCGGCAGGGACCCCGGAGGCCGAGAATACTGAGAAACCTCCCGCCGTGGCTACTTCAGGACTCGAGTGGTCTGTTCGATGGCAACTCATGGGAGCCTGCCATACCCATCGTGGTGGCTCTTCTAAATCGATGCCGATCGACGCTAGTCGACACTCAATCGACGCCAATCGACGCTAAATCGGCGCTATCTCCGCGACCAAAAGACGCGAATTCAAGCTCGTGCACTCTCAAGACGGACTTCAGAAGGAACACGAGACTCCCATGATTTGCTACCACAAGACTGAGTTAAATTGTATCCTCGGCGGACCTTCCGTCGCGGCCCTATCCGCGTCGAATCCATGTCGGACTCGTCGGATCTGTGTCGAATCCGTGGCGAATCCGCGTCTGTGTCGAATCCGTGGCGAATCCGCGTCGAATCCACGCCAATTCCGCGTCGAGTCCAAATCGAGCCCGCGTCGGGACCAAGACCAGACGCC